GTTATATATAATTCTAGGGGTCGTTTTTTAGAGTGGCGGGGTATTTTGCAATTATTTCGTTTAACTAACACGTATTTCCAATCTAATTTGTGTATTATTGTGTGCAATCTTCGTTTCTCACATTGACATAGCCCCACAGTGTGGCACGGACCGCTCCCGCTCCATCCTTAGGCACACATCCGTATGTGCAATTTAATGTCGGCATGGTCAAATCTTTGGCACATTATTTGAATGATTTCACTCACGTTGTTCTGGTACATGTATTTTCCAGTCTTTTTGCCTTTACCTATTTAATCTCATGGTCTCATTCTCACATGCCATCTTTAAATTAAAATGAGTCTGTTGAGTGAAATCATTCAAATAATGTGTCATTAGAAAGCGGAGAGACTAAGGAACATTTGTGTATGCAAAACAAATTGCGCCTATGATTATAAGAGGGTGCGCCAAAGATTTGACCACAACGACAACAAATGGCATACATGGATGTGTGGCTAAAGATGGAACGGGAGTGAGGGTCCATGCCACACTAGTGGGGCTAACATCAATTGGCGCTGTTCTTTGTTGAAGACAGTGAAAGAAAACATATAATTCTACCATTTGCCAACTGAAGAGCGCCACTTCTAGAACCTAATAATAGAAAGTGTGTCCTGAAAGAAAAGAATGCTGAGCCAACGATGTGTACATAGGTATATATCAGCCTTGAATAACGAAGTCTTAAGCCTGGCCCCAAAAAACAAACAAAAAACTGACAAAACAAAACTGTCCAATTTCACACAAATTTCAAACATGTCAAAAGAGCCACATCATGCACAACCTTGAATTTGATATCCTGCCCAAAACTGACATTATATAATTTGGACAATTCAATTTCAAAACACACTTTTAAATTCCCATGCATTACTGTACCCTTTCTTTCGGGTTTTTTGGACGTATTCGATACCCACAATGCATGCTCACTATATTATTGCACTGTGCGCACAATGCATTGCAAACATGGTGAATCACTATCGAAAACTTATAACATGTATGAAAGGCCCGTGGAAAACAGTCGAATTTACCTGCTGTTTGATAAAGTTCTGGCGCTCAGCCTCCAAACTATCTCCACTCCGTCTTGTGGACAATCTTCCAGCCATGTTCGTTTAGAGTTAGTCCACTCTTAAATGTCAAAAAAATGCAGCGAACTCGGAGAATTCTCGCGCCGGGAATCCACCGTTGTGGCACACACCGGAACTACTTACCCTTGAGCAACAGAGGGCAGTATAATATATAACGGGGCGCATTATTTTGTGCATTATCCTCTCTCGAAACTCCCGTTCGAAATTCTTTTAGGAACGCCAAAGGGGGATTTCAAAGAAATGTCGCAAAGTATTGGTGAAAAAGGATGAAGATGTATTTATGATATGTCTGACACTGAAAAATGTACATAGGCCTATGTGACAATAATTGGATCCAGCACATGTTCCTGA